AACATTTCTAACACTCTTGTCATTGATGGCCTCATTCTAGGATTATTCTGTATGCACCATAAGCCAACTATTATCATTTTCCTTATCACCAAATGTTCATCTTCATTCACAATGCAATTGAGATCAAGTTGAGGATTTTGTGCGAGGTGGTGATATATCCAGTCAGGAAAATATATTTCACTTGAATGATCAGCATTGGTATCAGTATTTTTCGTCTCACCAACCATTTCCAGAACCATCATCCCATAGCTATAGACATCTGATTTGTAAGAAACTTCTCCAAGGGCTCTATAAACTAATTCTGGAGCTATATACCCTATTGTCCCCCTCACTCCTAACATTGACACTGTACTGGATCTATTGGGGGAAATTTTAGCCAGGCCAAAATCCGAGATCTTAGGATTGAAGTCTTTATCTAGAAGAATATTGTGAGGCTTTATGTCAAAGTGCAAAATTCGTGTGTTACAACCTTGATGCAAATATTCTATTCCCCGAGCAATGCCAACTGCAATATCTAACAACTTTTCCCATCCTAATTGATCTTTTGGTAAGGAGTTGTTATTGCCTATGAACTTGTCAAGAGATCCGTTTGGCATGAAATCATAAATGAGAGCTCTTTTGGAACCCTCAAAACAAAATCCGAGGAGAGTGACAATGTTAACGTGGGATGTTGTGCTAATACTTGCAACCTCATTGATGAACTCTTCTCCACTAGCTTTTGATTCTTTCAAAATTTTGACCGCTACAAGACGGTCATTTGGTAGCTTTCCTCTATAGACAATAGCAAAGCCCCCTTGTCCTAACTTGTCACGGAATGAATTGGTCATCTTCTTGAGATCTGAGTATTTGTATCTTCTTGGCGCACGATCCCCATGGCTCTTCAAGAATAGTTCAATGTTCTTGTCGTTTTGTGTTTTTCCTTTCCAAATGAGTGTATAGTTTCTTCTGTTAAAAGTGAATAAGATTACAAGGATGAGTGCTGTAGCAGCTGGAATGCCTGTAATGAGACAATATATTAATAAATTGAAATACATAAGAAATGGAAACAAAATTTAAAGATATACCTGCAATAAAAATCAGTTTCAATATAATTTTTCTTTTTTCTTTTCCTTTATCCTTTTCTTCTGCAGATGGAGTAAAAACTCATGTTAGATCAAGCAAATATACTAAACAAGAAGGGAAATCATTTTTCTCATTATACTCTCTTCTGCACCTAAACTCTTTGACAAGCCACATGAACATGAAAAATAGCGAGTCGAGATTTTCGGTGAAAACTCCTGTTATATTTAAAAAGACCATTAGTATGTAACTGATTGACGTTGAACTCTGTACATGATTTGGATTCTGATTCAAATTGACATCACATGACCAACTATAGAGTATGATGCTAAAAGACAAATATGTGAAAAAATAGATAACCATAATTTCTAGGGAAAATTGCAGCCGAAGTACGAAACCTTTCGTTTATTAGCAGACTTTGCCCAAACCTTTGATTTGTGCCAACGTGAGTACCAAACTTTTCAAAAATATGCAGCTCACGTCCAAAATGACGGTTTCCGTCTGTTTGACCTCAAAATCTGTCAGATGACCCCAAAATCCTTCAGTTGACCCCAGAAATTAAAAAACTAATAATTTGACCACATAAGACAAGGCTAAAATGGTCATTTTACCATCTTAATATAAAACAATAAAAAAAGGAAAAATGAAAATTGGTCATCTTCTCCAAGTCTCCAGCCTGGCTCTCCATTTTGTCTCTCTCTCTCCAACGCCCCGATTTACTTCGCGCCGCCTCCTCTGCCCGTCTTCTCCGCCTACTCCTCACACACCCACATCCACTAATATCTGAGTATCATCTTCATCTTATAACATAAGTCCCCAAAAAAGAAGAAATTTCATAAATTTTGAAATTAAGGTTTTTTTTTTCCTTTTTTTACACCATGGATTTAGATTCCTACCATAATGCATCAAATACAGAAATTCTTAATTCATAGCTCAGGGAGAAATAGAATCTGTAATTCATTTCCACCAAATCAAAACTCACAAAGAACCTTGGAATTGGAATTGGAAATCAGAAATTGCTCCTTTTCCAATTTCTAAATCTCCTAAATATTTTCCATTCATGTTCCATGGGGAACTTGAGATTTGATAATGGGAAGTTTTTACTCCAAATTTTTTACAGGTGGGAGTGGGGGCAATGATTTATGGGTATGGCCGGACGGTGATGGCACTACCGGCAGTGGGTGGAGGGTGGCATATGGTGAGACTGGTTTTCCCATTATTGGGTAGGTGGGGATGAGAAGAAAGAAGAAATACATACAGAGGTTGTATGTACATGTGTGTGTGTGTGTGTGTGTGTATATTAGTTTAATTAATTAATTAATATCAAAATGGTAAAATGACCATTTTAGCCTTGTCTTATGCGGTCAAATTATTAGTTTTTTAATTTCTGGGGTCAACTGAAGGATTTTGGGGTCAACTGACGGATTTTGAGATCAAACAGACGGAAACCGTCATTTTGGACTTGAGCTGCATATTTTTGAAAGGTTTGATACTCACGGTGGCACAAATCAAAGGTTTGGGCAAAGTCTGCTAATAAACGAAAGGTTTGGTACTTCGGCTGCAATTTTCCCTAATTTCTATCTTAAAAGCTTAACCTTAATACATATTTAATCCTTGTTTGAGCCTCATTCTTTTGAAAAAAATGCATTTTTCAACAGTATTTTGACATCATTTCAACTACACATTCTTCAATAAAATAATATTACACGCAAATCAAAAACTTCTCCTTATTTTTTAACCACACATTTCTACACTATTCAAAAATTTATTCTT